TTTTCATAATAATAAGAGAACAGCTTTAGATGTGTTTTAGGCAACAGCACCCAAGGGGTGCAATTACAACTTACTGTATTCAAGCAGAGAAGGTGTTGTACTCTGAGAAAAACAATGATTTTAGAAATAAACATTGCTTTAATTTTAATTTTTTTTTTTCCACGGGGTACATACTAAATCATGTAAGGCATTTTTCTGCATTGGTCACATCCATCCATTCATCCATCCCTCCATAGAGTCATAAAATCATTAAGGTTGGAAAAGACTTCTAAGATGATTTAGTCCAACTGTCAAACCATCACACCATGCCCACTCATTGAGTCATTAAGGTTCGGGAAGATCTCCAAGATTCCCAAATCCAACCCCAATGCATCCGCACCATGCCCTCTAACCATGTCCCTAAGAGCCACAACTCCACAGTTCTGGAACACCTCCAGTGATGGAAACTCCACCACTTCCCTGGACAGCTTGTTCTAATGCCAGCAGCTTTCTCTGTCAGTCTATCTGTCTGTCTGTCTATCTATCTATCTATCTATCTATCTATCAACCTATCTATCCATCTATCTATCTATTTTGGAGGTACGACCAAGTGAATATTAGACATGCCAAACCAAGAAGGATTTAAAACATTAAGTGTTTAGGCATGCTTGCCTGTAGTAGATAACTTCTACCCAAACCAGCCAAGGCTCAGTGCTGTACAGGGCAGAGAGGCAGACAATGACAGCAGGCTCTTAGCCTGTAGCTGCAGCCCTACCTGAGCTCTGGGAACATTGAGCCTTCAGCCCACATTAACACTGATTAAATCACCAGGGTATGAAAATAAATAACACAGACGAGATGGTAAAGGAAAACCAGCTGAGGCATTAGTGCTGCTTGACAGTACTTCTGTACACAGAAACTGCTGTAAACTTCTGATCACCACTTTCTGATCACCTCTCATCTTCAATAAAGCCATGCTGTGAATAATAATAATAATAATAATATTTTATTTATTTATGTATTATTATTGTTATTGTTGTTGTTGTCTGGAGAATAGGAGGCTCAGGGGAGACGTTATTGCTCTCTATAACTACCTGAAGGGAGGTTGTAGTGAGCTGGGGGTCGGCCTCTTCTCTTGTATTTTTCTGAAAGAATGGGCTGCCCAGGGAAGTGGTGGTGTCACCAGTCCTGGAGGTGTTCAAGGAACGCTTGGATTTTGTGTTGAGGGATATGGTTTAGTGAGAACTATTGGTGATAGATGGGTGCTTAGACTGAATGATCTTGAAGGTCCTTTTCAACCTTGGTGTTTCTGCGATTCTGATTCTATTATACAGTCCCTTGCAGAGCAGGATCCAGGGCATCAGGGCTTCTGGGTGTTTCCTCCTACAAATAGCATGCAATCATGAGACTTCCCATCCACCTTCCAATGAGAAGAACAAAAGCTTTAAATCAGTCCATGTGAGCCATGAATAACTTGATTAGAATCAATGTCTTCAGCCTGTGCAGATAAGATAAGGCTGAGCCCAAACAACTCAGTAATCAGGTCTCAGGATGGTGTTGCATGATGAATCATAGCCTTACTGATTTAAATGGGACACTGATTTTACAATGACATACTATTGATACATTAATGGATATCTTATTTTCTTGATACTTTCCTTCGTGTTAAGAGTTGAAGAAAATGTTCAGGAGGGATAACCAACTGTGTTGTTATTTCATAAAGGTGATATAGGCTATAGGGTATGCACGTAGGGAAGTGCACTGGAACCTCAGTATGGATCCACAGCTCCGCACAGCTGTGAAGTATTGTGAAAGCACAGAAATACAACATTAAAAGGTATCCAGTGAGTTAGATTGAACAGAACAAACTCAATTTCTATGGACTGCCAAGGAGAGAGCTCATGGGAGAAAAGATCACAGAATATAAATACCTTCAAAGGATGAGGATAATTCACACAACCAGAAAATGACGAAACAAAAAGTAGTGCTTTCAAACTAGGAACACAAAGTGCAGTGGAGTAATTGTTCCATAAACAGAGTATGATGCCAGTGAGGAAAGAGCCAGGAGGGAAAAAAAAGAGGTGAGAAGGGACTACAGGCATAATTAATGTAGGTTTTGGAATACTGAGGGATTAGCAGTAGGCACAGCAATGTTCTTCCTCTCTGCACAAAAGAGGTCTGGGGTCGGCTGCAGCTGCCCACCGCAGCCCTCATCTCCAGCAGTCCTCTCTGTGCATGAGCTGCTGTCTGGGAGGAACAAAGAGGCAAGATGAGGGCTGGCAGGATCTATACAGGCCCTGTGCACAGCTCCCACGCAAGCCTGCATCCACTGAGCTGCTGGAGGGACAGACAGAGTCCACAGTCTGACCAGGCATCTGATTTGCCCCAGGAAGACATCAGGAGCCCCAAGTCTTCTCTAAGTTGCCACCACGGCTGGAGGACCTCCAGATCAATAAAGCAGCAGGAGCTGGGAGGAAGGCCTGGGCTGTGGATGCGCGGCATGCCATATGTCTCACGGACAGCTTGCTGTCTCTCTCCTAACACCACAGATGCATCTCATGGCCCCAGGCAGCAAAGGCCTCCTACTGCTCTCAGAGCCCTGAGGCTGGGCAGGCACCCGGGGTGCTTCACATACTGAGGTTTTGCTACAGGTTTCTCCTCCATCTGTTCACAGCATCGGTTGCCCTTCCAGGAGGCTGCGATTGAGATTTTCCCTTTAACTTTGGTGCTCATCCTTTGTGAGCACTAAAGGCTTTTAAAATGTGCTACATAATAGTATTTAGTTAACTGCATTAAAACTAGTTGCCCTCTGTTATTAACATCTCATTACACTTTTAGATTCATTCTAGTTCCTTTCCCTGCATAGGGAACTCCAGATAAGTAAAAAATAATCTCCTTTTTAAAGAAAGAAGGAAGCACTGGGAAGAAATAATGAAGACAGAGAATTCTGTGCCTTCTGAGAAAGTGTCCATGTTAGTCAACAACAGTCAGAAATGGCCACATGCCCACACGTGCAAAGGTATCCTTTCTTCCACTGAAGTAATGTCTTAACTAAAGATAATTCATTTTAAAAACACTTCTCAACTTAAAATATTTGCTTATGCTTATTGGAAAAGGGCCGTGGCCAAACAATGACACAGCTGAAGCCTATCAGAAGTGGAACTCAGATTTGAGACTGTGCCTCTGAAACAGACATTAAAATTGGTCTTCTAGTTTAGAATTTTTTTAAAGTAATTCATTCCAAAACATACACGAGTTTAAAATATTGCCATGATTTAAAATATACACTTGTGTTTTGACTGAGTAAAGAAAATTATAGAAGATGGCAAATTACCATGCTCCAGCTCTTTTTCCAGAAAAGCTGTGCCTGATTAGTGCATAGTTTAATCAGGTAAACAGAGGGCACCGACTCTATAAATAATATTGGGTTTTATGTCCATAAAAATTAGCAGGATGAGATCTTTACCATCTCAGTTGTTTCCAGATTAATTGGAATACATAATGAAAGTAATTACACTCTGGTATTTTGTTGCATGTCTCAGTGTATCTTGGAAGGAGTCCAGTAAGCTGTCTGTCTATAACCGAGTTATGGAATGGTGATTTGTCATTGAAATTGCTCCTTATGAGCAATAAACAGGGAGCATTTGTACAAATAGTAAACGTCTCTTGATTTTTACCAAACTGATTTGCATTTCTGTGCCACCCATAGATATATCTAGGAATAAATTACTGACATTATTTGTGATTTAACCCTCCCAGAAAGCCCCTTTTGAAGATAGAAAGTGAACATTGCCCAGAAATTCAATATGTCTATATATACTGCAGACGTGCATGTACAAACCATGCTGTATTCATGGAAATATATTTGTGTTGTAGGAAAAGTCTCTTCTCTGCTAGGGAAGCCAGTCTTCCAGTCATCTTTTTTTTCTTCTTTTTTTTTTTTTTTTTTTTTTCCCCAAGATACAGCAGCGTTGATAAAGGAGAATTGTGAGAAAGGCTGGTTCAAAATTACTGAGTGAAAGCAGGGCATGACCTGGTGCACAAAACAATGCTTCACAGCATTTTGGGTTTTTACGCAGTCCCTTTCACTCTGTTCATTTAAAAAAATGATGCTGGATAACAGATGAAATTGGAGATAACATTTGCGGAATAAAAAGGCTCTTGAAGTTTGAAGTCATTATGTCCAGTGGCTGTGAGTCTTGCAGCAGTGTCATGGAATTAGCTCCTTCCCTTCTCGGGGCCCACTTTGGGTCCCACTATGCTTCTCCCCACCTCACAATTGTTTTCATTCTGTTTGCTCTGCAGGGTTTTGGTCTGCTCCACCAATGTGTTCCAGTGCTCCTGGACCCACATCAGCAGGCTCCCCAAGTGAGCCAAGTGAGTAAAATAGCAGACTCAGCTATGGCAGGTAAAAGAATCATAGAATCACCAAGGTTGGAAAAGACCTCCAAGATTACCCGGTCCAACATCTACCCACCACCAATATTTTCCCACTAAACCATGACCCTTAGTGCACCATCTAAATGTTTCTTGAACACCTCCAGGGACAGTGACTCAACCACCTCCCTGGGCAGGTTCCCATTCTAGCATCTGACCACCCTTTCAGAGAAGAATTTTTTCCTAATATCCAGCCTGAATCTTCTCTGGTGCAACATGAGGCCATTTTCTCTCTTTCTATCACTACTCATGTGGGAGAAGAGGCCAATCCCTACCTCACCACAATCTCCTTTCAGACAGTTGTAGAGAGCAATAAGGTCTCCCTTGAGCCTCCTCTTCTCCAGACTAAACAATTCCAGATCCCTCAGCCAGACCCTTCACCAGTTTCATTGCTCTTCTCTGAACGTGCTTCAGAGCTACAAGCAAGGAGTCTCAAAACTGAGCACAGTACTCAAGGTTCAGCTTCAACAGAGCCGAGTACACAGAGATGACTGCTTCGCTGCTCCTAAAGGCAGCACTATTTCTGATACAAGCCAGGATGCCATTGGCTTTCTTGGGTACCTGGACATACTGCTGGCTCATGTTTAGCTGAGCATTGACCAATGCCTCCAGGTCCATTTCTTCCACACAGTCTTCCAGCTGCTCTGCCCCAAGCCTGTTGCATTGCCTGGGGATGTTTTGACCAAAGTGCAGGACCCAGCACTTGATCTTGTTGAACTTCATCCCACTGGCCTTCCCCCAGCAATCTAGACTGTCCAGATCCCTCTGTAGGGCCTTTCTACCCCCTGGCAGACTGACATTTTCTGCCAACTTGATATCATCTGCAAACCTACTGAGGATGCACTTAACCCTTGTCCAGGTCATCAATAAAGATAATGAACAGGACAGACTCCAATTCCAACCCATGGAGAACTCCATTCGTGATCAGTTGCCAGCTGGATTTAACTGCATTCACCATCAACAGACATGTTTTTGGGTTGTAATTTTTATCTTGAATTTTTCTATGAGCCACTGCTCAGGTGACAGGACTAGAAGTTTAAGAATGCACAAGAAGAGCTTGTTAAAGTAGTTTCTGCAGGTAACATCAATGGCCCTTTATCTGTTGTCTACAGATGAAAAAAAAAACAACACAAGTTTTTAAACTATGCTTTGCTTTAAAACTAATATATTACACAAAAGAAATACTAACTCTTGTTAGTGAACTGACAGATTGCTTCTGGTCATCATGGGCCTGATTTCCAAAAGTATTTGGTGCCTAATAAAACAGTTCATTTGCATGGAATTTTAGAGATGTTGCAGTAGGCCAGCTGCCATATCTCCACTCAAATTGGTAGGAGTAGGATGTGAGGCACTTCTGAAAAGCACTTGTCTGCAGCACTATGTGCAAAACTATCTCTGTAAAGACGTCCAGGTATTCATTAACTTTCAGATTCAGCTGATGCTTTTTCTTGTCTATTTGGGGTTCTGCTTGTAAACAAGAAGTGAGAAACAGGAACCCTACTATGATAAAATTTTTGAGTTCCAAGTTGATGAAACGTGCCTCAGGGTGTTGGCCCTTCTAGTTACATCTTGTCCTGTCAATTTGGTATTATCATAACAATCTGGCTTCTTTTTTTATTTCACCACGACACCCACAGTCAAGGCATGAATGTGCTCAGAGTGCAAATCTGCTTTCTGCAATTCATTGGTGTAATCTTCCCAGTTGTGAGAAGTTCTTTGGGTCATGCCTAGAAAGTGAGAAGAATAACAACCTACTTGTGTTGCTCTCCCCTGTCCCCTCCTAAAGACATACCAACTATTCTGATGATACCTCAGTACATAATAACCTCTTTCAAGCTGTATTTTCCAAATTTTATTGCCAGGTTTCCTAGCAGTAGGCTGTAATTGGAATCTGACTGTGAAATAAACAGGTACAAAATGATTGACAATTCCCAAAGATGTAAAAATACACACATTTTAACCCCATGCTGTTAAAATAATCCTGCACTGATTCTATCAATTATTGTCTTTACCTGAAGCTGAAGAACCACCTCCAATCATTGGGATCTTTGGCTATTTAAAGCAAATTCTACCATAATAATAAGCTTGCAAGGTAAGTTAGAGTGTCATTTCACTTGATGTTTCTTTGAGCAAAGTCAAAGAAACAGCACTTGTACCACACTTACACAGTATTCCCTCTATTCTCTCTCCACAAATTATTTGACCAAAGAAATACATACTGATTTTTTTCAAATGAGGACAGGACCAGTGTTAATGATCTTATAGTCTGTGTGGTTCTCACCTCAAATTAACATCATTAAAATGAAACAAATCTGTAAATACATTGATTCTACAACTGAAACTTATCAACTGCAAATAACATATGATGACCCCATCATATGTTCAGTAAGAAAAATCACATCTGATTCACTATTACTGCTCTTTCCAGAGATATGAGCAAACTGAAAGATTTCACTACACATATTGTGGAAATTGCACAGAAAATGCATTTCTACTTTTAATTTTATCATTATATACTTTCACATGTTTTCAGCAGTACTGTCTTCATACTAGTATCATAGACTACCTGGTGACTTGCCAGGGATGCTGACTCTTGGAAAGTTAGGGGCACTGGTGAGTCACAGCTCAAAATTTGAGAAAAGCAATTATGAATCAAATGGTCAAGGCTCTATGCTGTTAATGCTGCAAAGCTCTTCCCAACACAAACCCTTCATTTCAGTCATAACTCTTGCAAAATTTAAGTGTGGAGAATGGAATTTTTCATGTCTGGTTTCCAAAAGGGTGTCAGCATGGATTGTCCAGTTTTTTCCAATAATAAAGTCAGCAGAAAATATATTATTTGCCAGTCATACTATTTACTACAAATTTACTACAGTTCTGTCAATAATTTCTGGCAGTATGACAACTTGAGGCAAGGAAGTAAAATTTCGCACTGAATAGCCTTTGTGTGATGGATAACCCTTTCGTAGTGCATCTATGTGTGTGGAGGGGTATAATGTTCAAATGTAGCCAAGTTGTTAATAATTGAGAAAAATTCTGATTGCGTATGCTTAGTAGCAGTTGATCAATAGCATTTTCTGTTCGTGCTAAGCCAACATTCTTCCTGACCCCAGGATAAAGAAGGCTAAAACAAGGCTTTCCCTGCAATTGCTAGTCTCAGGTGCTCTGACTCCAGAGCTGGACATGAAACAAGGCTGAGGCGGTGTGGATCTGACCCCTGGCTGCAACAGAGAAGCAGAGAGGAAGGCATCAGTCTCCTTTTACTGCGGACACCCACAGGGCAGCACCCCTTTGATGAACATTTCTCATCGCCCCACGGCAGGGACATGAGACAGATCTGACACAGCTGGAGGAGTTCTTTCTTCTTCACATAAAACAGAGGTGCTCTATTAGGCCAGACAGAGTGCAAGCAGGCTGGCTGAGGCAGCAGAATGGAAGAGGTCAAGCTCCAGAAGGCCAGCAACCCTGTGATTCCTCCCCAGGCTCAGCTGAGCAGCTCTGGTTCTCCCAGGATGTCCTTGAAGGGTTTCAACAAGCGTCCCATTGTGAAGCTGGGCTGATACCAAAGACCTGAAAATGTGCGAGGAACTGGAAAGCAATTTCCACCCTAACTCTAGGTGGAATGCATGTACCACTCAAGAGAACAAACTGCAGTAAAATAAAAATTGATTTCATAGTTAAGACAGCTGAACACTGGCCTGGAGGCCTGAAATCTGCCACTGACTGACAGAGCTGCTGTGTGAGGCAAGGTACTTAAAACTTCATTTGCTTCACTTTTGCTCTCTTCATTTGAATCAAGACTGTACCTTTGTTGTGCAGGAGCACTGGGTCCTCACACATTACATCAGTGAGGACTGTGCCATGAACAAAAGACTGCACCAGAATCTGATGATAGTGGTTTTATTTTTTTCCTACTCAGTGTCCAAAATCTGTAGTTAGTCATTATTTATATTCCTCTGCTTCAGTTTATTATCTGAAAAAATTGGACTAATAATACTCTTCATTGCAGCAAAGTAGTATGTCAGAAGTTCATTACTGCTTGTGAAACAGCTGGATACTCTAATGATGACCATAAAAGAAATGGTCATAAGGAAACAAATAATTCTGAATTAAACCAACTTTGCACAATGTGAAATTAATACGGCATTAGACACTCAATGAACACAAAGATAAAATCAAATACTGGGCTCATTAATGTGCCATCTATATGAACTATGTTTCCATGCCAGGTGTCTGACTTAAAAGAATTTCAAGAGAATAGATCTATCAGCAAGTACAAAAACAAAGTATGTGTTCTCTTAATTAAAGACTGATTGCAATGCACAAACCCAAAGGAAGCAAAAATTGCACAAATTCTATCCAGAAAATACTAGAATTGTGTTTTACTGATTGACTTTCAAAGCTTTGTATCCTTTTAATATTTCTTCTAGTAGCTAATGTTAACACATGCAAATAATAATAATGATAATAATATATATATATTTAAAATGCATGATGGCTAAACTGAAAATTATAAACTTATGGCTTTAGATGCTAATATGCTTTCCTAGGAGCATAATTCAGACCACATGATTTTGCAGTATGTAGATGTAATACAAGCAACACTGAGACTTGACATAGTACTTACAATATATTCTTGAAGCCCAGAAGAGACAAGAACAAAATCAGCCTCAAAAGTCCTACAGAAACAACAGCTTTAATGTAAATAAATGCAAACAAAACTTGGGATGACAGCAGCGACACATTTTCCATTTTTTCCTGACTTCTTGCAGAGGTTGATGTGATTTAGCACTGAAATGAAATCCAATGACAAACAGTAAAAATCCCTCTTTGATGCATCTTCACAAAGCAGCCTCCTTTCATAGCATCTTTTGCGTGCACATAGGCTGACAACTGAGAAAAAGTCGGGCTAACCTTTTACTTTGTTTTCTCTAGCCTGGTGAATTAGAAGGCCACAGCAACAGGCAGGGATACCAAAAGGGAGAACCAAGTGGACATGGGCAGCCTCTTTGGTCCCTCTTTGTGAGCTGTGGAGGGGTAGCCCAAGGTGCAGGTCCCATCTGAGTGACCAGCCTCCCCTGCTGAATGCTTCCTAGCTCCTCCCTCGGCTCCGTGCCTCTCACTTGGCAAACCAACATCCTTGAAGCTCAAACCATCAACAGCTGGGTTACAGACATAAACCTGGAAAGATTTCATCCTCCTTACCACCACAGCCTTCAACAAAAAGGAAGTTTCTGGCAGCTTCCCCTCCATCCTGTGTCCTTTGTAACCAGGAAGTTCCTGGGCATAACACAGCCCTGCTTGCCTGTGCTTGAAGGACATTAATGTGGAACAGGGATTCGGAACCCACAAATTAATCCTGTGACTTACAATAAGAAGATTTCATACTGTCTTGCCAGATATTTTTAAAATTTCCTTGTCATACGTTAGCATAAAATTAAAAATATGCTTTGTGCTCTGTAGACAATATTTATGCACTGTTCTGGGCTCTGGACAGTGACTTACGTGCATCACACACCCTGCTCCACTGCTCCTAGGCTGCACATGCAAGATAACCTGGTTATCACTAATGCCGTGGCATAGCTTGGACTTGCCAGTAAAGTTAAAAGCCATTTCTAATCATGAGGAAAATTAATATACTGTGTACTTCTGACTGTAACAGAGCAAATGAGTACTAGCCATAACACTGCATTTTTCACTTACATTTTCTTCCCCGGAATATCTGAAGAACCATTTGGATATTAAATCAGCTATCATGATTGATCTTAATGCATCAGTCATATATTTCTCTTCCTCTTTCAAATTACACTTACTGAAGAAATAGAAACATGTGGAACAAGGAACAAAACTATGTTCTCAATACAAAAAGAAATGTGTCCTCAATTTTGAAGTTGCAATGAACTAAAATTTTTGATTTATTAATCCAATGAAATATTTCTGGTTATTTTCAGATTAATCATGGGCAACGAGCTCCCATTGAGACTATATTTATAAAGATTACTCAAACCTTATTTATTTAGCAAGTCACTGAGTAGACTGCATTGGTGCACTTCCTGAGGTCCCCAGAATATGGGATCATCCTTGAAGTAATGGTGGCCCAGTCTTGCAAGGTACTCATCAACTCCATCTTTCATTGCAATAGAAATGTTTTGCATCCTTTAGGAATAAACACATGAAAGAGCCTGTTCTAAATTAGCTGAGAAAAAGCTTCATGCAAAATTTTGCATTTGTTTCTAATGAGGAAAGTTATTTCCAACAGAATAGTACAGCAATGACAACAGAACATTTGACCCATTGCTTTCAGAATTTCTTTCCATTTCTGAGAAATCTCCCATACAGAGAAAGACTGGCTTGTACACTGCCCAGTTTTGCTTTGTTTCCAGAATTTCTTAAGCACTGCTTAATAACACTTCCAGAAGTGTTCTGAGGGCTTACAAAATCACTGTAAAGCACTTCATTCCAAGTAAACTACCCATAAACAACAAATGTAACCTTATGTTGGTAATGTAACCTCAGCATACATTGAAAGATTTATCCGTGAGGCAGAGAATTGTTAATCATAATCCTGAAGTCATCTGCTAAAAAAGAGATCTGTGCAACCTACTCTAGGGAACCTGCTCTGTCAGGGGGCTTGGGCTAGATGGTTCCCATAGGTCCCTTCCAACCCCTATGATTCTGTAATTCTGTGATTCTATTGTAATAAAGACCTTAGCAGAATGCTAATCACTTTATAAAGGAAAAGAAAGCATTGCACTACATACCAATATTGCAAAGGCATTCCTGTTTTCTCATTCTTCTGGTTTCTTTTCCACATTCCAGCTGAAAGGTGTTTTTTTTTAGGAGTTTGTTCAAGTACCTCATCAACAGGACTTACCTGAGCTTCACACCCAGTGAGTGAGGAGTGCCATCGCCTCCTCTGCCCTATACAAAGGAAAATTCCAACAGCTGAGCTTGCTGAAATTGTGCTAATTGACACAGAATCCCTCTCAGCTTCTGGGTCTAACTACTGGCTGGATCAACCATGCTGAGTGAGCGGCACTTGCAGCAACATGCTACAGTGAAATTCTGCATTGGAGCAAGTAAGCCAAATAATTTGGTCAAAAAGTTTTCCAGGTTCAGTGGAAGCAAAAGGTGACAAAGGAGAGAAGAGGGATGTATTTATCCCTTCTACAAACAAGACTTTTGAAATTCTTTTGATCTTTGGCATTGTTCAAAGCACATTTTTCAAATGAAAATTGATTTCTGTGCTTTGTAGAATTGTTTTTTTTAATCTAAATCTCCCTGAAGTTTGGCATATTGGACAGTTTGCTCTTCAGCAGTCATGTTCTGAACAACTAATAGCAGGCTTTGGTACAGAACTTACACATTATCAGTTCCTTAGTTCATTTTGTGCTATAACTAAACTAAGAGAGACATTGAAATTGTCTACTTTAAGAAAGTTATTAAAAAATAATAATCCTGAGGTTGTTTAGTAACAACATTCAAAGCATATATTTTGTTCCTTCTGTTTCTTTCTTAATATTTGCCTTAAGATTTGTATCAAAAAATATCAGCAAAATACAAAACAAACAAAACAAAAATTACAAGATCACTGATCCTTTGTTTGCTTGTCATTGATTCTTGTTTATTTCAACTCAGTAATCAGAGAATGTTATTGAGTATGAGAGGATAAATTAAATGCTAAATCTGACCCGATTGTATCAGACTCACTGCCTACTTTGCTGCCCTGCTGGTTCACACAAGGTGAAGAATACAACCTAGTTGTGAAGGAAAAAAAAACGTAAGTTGACTCCTGCTGCACCCATTTGTACAGCCTGCACATCTATCATCTGCCAGGAGTAAAAGGTGGGTTGAGCTGCAACATTTCACAAGGAGAGTATGAAAAAATACACTACAGTCTAACCACAGTAACCACTGCAATTATCCAGCTCTGCATCAGCACTGGGGAAGTGGTCAACAAGTTCCTTCGTCTCATGAAGAGAGCAGTGAGCTTGCTGGCAAGTGGGAAGGATAGAGCCAGCTGTGCCAGCTGTATCTCTATGACTCCAAATGTCCCACAGCACCAGACCTATCTCAAGCACAGATGTGTGCTGCCCTCTGCTTCCAGGTAGTGAAGGCACAAATAAGAATGAGCTTGTTATTGGATTAAGAGCTCAACTGCCCTCCCCTGAATGGAATATTGGAATATATTGGAATATATGGAATATGCCATTTCCCTTTGCAGTGACATCCTAGTTAGATAATTTCAGAACAATTTTGTTTGCTGGAGTTTTATGTGTAGTACACACCTTTACTCAATCAGAAAACAGCTAATATCTTCACAGTGCTTATTATATCAGAGCAAAACATAACATGTATCTGCTTGTTCTTGTTAGCCAGTTTGAGAAAGTGGATCCCTTTGGCTGATGACATCACCTGGTTTCCGATGCTTTGCTGTGGACAACTCATGATCAGGTCCTAAACTTACCTGGAGTTGTGCATGTGGTCTCTGTAGGCAGTGCAGGTATATTCCACACTGAGGTAGGGCATTTACTGCTCCCAACAGCCAGTACATGAGCAAACTGCAGAGTAAGCTATAATAGTATCAGTGCCTGATATCTATTCACACTCTGCATGCCTGTGGTTACATGCATTGACTTGCAGCGTGAGTCACATAATGATGGGTTGCATCTGTGATACCATATCATAAGCATGGCACAACAGGAATGGGAAGGGTGAAAATATAGACACATGTCCAGATGAGTTATATGGAAGCAATGATAATACATGTGTCCACCAGAGCAGAGGAGTGGGTTACAGGAGGAGCTTTCATATAGACCTAAGACTAACAACGAGGTTTTCCTTGTAATGATAGAATCATCTTTTCCAACACGAGCAGTGAATTCAAAGCTAAGGCATCACTCAGCACAGACACACCGAAAGTCCTGAGTAAAGATAAGGGTCCCTACCAGCACTGGAGCAGTACGACCACATTTCTCCCAGCCCTTGCTCTTGGTCCTGCATTGGTGTTCTCCTCAATCACCTCACAATGCCATAGTTCATGTTAATGAACTGTTTTTATCACTTAACAAGGCAGAGCTACCAGGGGATAAATGATACCTACCTTTACTATATGTGAGGCTGTCTTCTGCTCAGCAGCCAAGTTTCCAAGCTGGCCAGGACATGGGGAGTTGCATGTTTGTCTCTGATGCATCAGGCAAGCAGAGCCACAAGGGCACAGCCACTGTGACAAAGGTCCTATGATTTTATGTCTGCAGAGGTACTTTATGGCCAAGATGTACCAGAAGAAAGAACCCGGAAGGGTCTGCAGGAGCAACTGAAACTTGAGAGCATGGAGAGTGAAGGGAAAATAACGCAGCTTTCTCCACACCGCACAGGTGTGGGGCAGGCTCAGCTTTGCTTCTTGTGAGAGAAGTGGAGGTAGGAAAAAACAGATAGATAGGAAAAGCAGGTAATCCAAGTTCAGGAGTTAAATGGTCTTAAAATTCATTCTCCCACTGAGATGACAGCTTACACGTGGCACAGCTGTGCACTCACCTTGCCTCTGCTTTTAAACTCGTGGGTCCTGCCCCCACGTTGCACAGCACATAAACCAGGAGCCTCACTCTGCAAGGTGATTTAACTGTTGATAAGTAGATTCTGTACGTAAGGTGCAGTGTTCCTATTTTGGAAGAAAACAACAAAAATAAGCCATCCAAGCATGTATATTGTTTATGAGACAGGTCTCTGTATATTCTTTTGTGCTGTTATCTCCATATATTTGCCTTTTATGCTGTCTGCTGACAGCATTTGATGCATTCTTCCTCCTGTGCTTATTTTTAGTTGCCATAGGAACTTTCTTATTTCCTGTCAGCTGATGTCGGTGTTTAATACTATTAATTGTATAAAAGGGTGTTGAGTCTGGTACTCTTAGGAAGGCAGAACACACATTTCAGTTTACTCAATCTCTTTTTTCATTTATTTCTATCAATATTTAATTCAAAAAGCCAGATACTGTAATAACAGCTGTTAGCACATCACTGGAATTCCGAGTAGATCCTCCCCAGCTATTCTTTCTTGTTTGGTCTTAGTCTCCCTCCCACTACCACAAACACACTCATTTGAAATAGTATCTTCTGTCAGCTTAGTTTGTTGTTGTTTCATTCTTCCTCGGTCCCCACACACCCCATCCTTTTCTGTTGGTTTTTTTTTTTTTTTTTTCCCCCAAAAGAAAAATTAAAATCTGCTGTTAAAATGAATGGGAATGAAAAGAAAAAAATTCAGTGTTTAAAGAATTACTGTCATCTGATAAAATATTGGGATCTGAGGAGGGTTTCTTCCTGGCAAAGTCTAATTTTTCTCGTCTTAAGTATAACTGGTTATTTTGCAAAATATAATTTTTTTCTATTAACCGTGTTTTGTGACCAGAAAGCAACAAGGAGTGACCAGGATTGACTGAGAACTACAATAGCTTAAACCAGCACTTCCTTTATTCACATCAACTTCAAAATCTCCGGACTTTCCCATGAACTGATCATACATTTGGGGAAAGGTCTTGATCAATACATACATTTGAACTTGAACTAGAATTGTATGTTATGCAATGTACATTCAATCCATTCCTTCTCTGGGAAAAAAAAAAAAAAGAGAGAGAAAAATAGCAGCATTTCAAACCCTTCTGTTCCTTCTTCTATTTCACACCAATATTTTTCAAAAGATGGAGGAGAACAAGTAGCTCAGAATAAAGAAACCAACATACAAACTATCACTTATGATTTGAGAATCAGTGTGACTTAAATCACGCAATCCAAGGTTTTATCCAGAGTACCTTAAAGACAGCTTTGACAACTTCAGGGGCCTTTGGATTAGTCCCACTGAATGAAATAATGGGAGCATTAACGAGCATGCTGGAGTGCAGTGAGGATAATATTCCGCTTGGGAATGCTCCCAAAGCATATGGTGTGTGCTGTTGCTGAGACAAGCACTGCTAAGTGTTTTAGAGGCTGTAACTCAGCAGGGCCCCAAAACTAAGGCAAATGGTTTTCAACCTGAACCATGAGGTCCCTCCACAGATGGCTACTCCTGCAGAAGTCCTTGGTACCCCGATTTTCCTCCATGAGAAGAATGCATCCCAGGCCAATGTGCTCTGCCATGATTGAAAGCAATCCTGTTTAGGCCCTTCTAGTTTAAGGTAGGATATTTGTGAAATGGCACAATATGTTTTTATTGTTATAGTGAATGTAAAATACTTTGAACATCTATCTTTTCATCCAAATAAGAGGAACTGAAGGTTTCAGGAACTGGATATTTACTCTTTTGAATGGTTTGGGTTTTAAGAAGTAAATTTTTAAAAGTAATTAGTTTGGAAATGAAAATATTCATGCATATTAAGGGTTGTATTTACAAGAGTTATTCATAGAGAAGATAACTATGCAGATTATTTCACTGTTGGATTGTTTGGGATCATGAAAAACTTTGAATACTGTTTTATATATATATATAGAAATAAAAATATAAAATAAATACGCTATCAGTCCAATCTATATGGAAATACTGGAGTTGTCTCTGTAAGTCAGCCAAGCTAGGCTGAAAACAACTTCCAGTTCAGTATCGGTGATATGCAGTGGCATTTGCTGTATCACATTAAGTTCTGAGGAAACTACAAAGATAATTAACACTGTCCAACTTTCCTGGCAAAACCATGGCAGAAGCTCAGATTGGCACATCTGAAGTGGGTGTTTTGTTTCCATCCCCTTTTCATACAGCTGATGGGAGAGAGCAGAGTAGCTGCAGGACCAGGGTGGCCATGCTCATGGGAGTGGAGCTCAGTGGCTCTGCAGGGAGTACTATGGGGTGGGATCTGGGGCTGGGGCTGGGGCTGTACCCCACCAGGTCACCGCAGGACAGCAGAAGGAAGACAGGCTCACTGTGTGAAAGCAGCAGGAAAGGAGCAAGCAGGAGTACAAGGCCAAAACACTATGTGAGGTCAAAGGCAGCAAAGACCAACACCGCTTCTCTGAACAAAATTGGACTGTTCCTCTTCCTCTTCTTTGGGTCACTGTAGTGGTGATGGGAAAGCAGCAATCCGCTGCCTGTCTTGCACTGAGTCTGAGCACGCTTGCTTTATCCACTGAACAAATGCTGGCACAGCAGTGACTTTGTAAGATTCAACAAAGGATGAAACAAGTTATGAGAACCACCCCACTAAGATGAGATTCTAATAACATCACACGGACATTTCAGGACACTGTTGTATTTAGCAGAGCATGAGAATCAACATCATCCTCTCTAAGTTAAACAAATGAGAGATGGTTATTTAGTGTTCATCTGGTTTTGTTCAAGAGATAGCAAATAACTGTTCTTCAGATAACCATGTAGGGGTCTTGATTGCTTCTAGCTGCCAGAAAACAGGATTTTTCCTAACCTACTACTGTCACTTTCCATGTCATCTGAGACCTAAGTGAGGCATTCCCATTTTATACCTCTTTCATTAAGACAGTATGATTGCTTTGTTTATGCAACACATATTAGTACAGCTCAGGGAATAAAAAATTAATAGGTACTATCCAGCAGAGGGAGCACAATAACATAAAAACCCTTCAGCTGTAAGGTGGAGAACTTTTCCTATTAAAATCCACAATATTTAGCAATCCGCTTTTACTGATTCAACATACAGAGTAGAAAAATAGAATTTAAATTGAAAAATAAAAAATAAAAAGAGAGAGAGAATAGGAGGGAAGGATATCAAACAGAAGCAATAAAATGATTGCTTTCCTGGAATTTTCATTGATAATAATGGAGATATAACTTTCAGATTGAAGAACTAAGGTTTAATAAGAAAAAGATCACAGAAGTCTTCAGAAGACTAGTAACGTTTGTTTTAAAATGCTGATTTTAATTTATAGAGAAGTGGCTGCTCTGGCTGAAAGATTCGAGTGCTGCTTTCAGTTTTACTGTGCACTTCCTCTCATTTTTTATGAAGTCATCTATCAGAAATAACTGATGTACTCATTCATTTGGTTTATGTGTAATTTTCAGCATCCAATACAACAGAAATCTTACTAGATATGTTCTCTGTTCTATAACTGTTACACTTTCTACTCCAATCATGCTGAAATAACTGTGAATTAAAAAAAGAAACTAGAAGTGAGCACCTATTTTATAAGAAATGGTCATATTGTGGAGAAAGAATTACAGCGTTTTAATAGGACTCACATGCATACAGTAATTAAAGGAACAACGTAATAGTGCAAAAGTGTTGCCATCTTAAATGCAAACATTTCTCAGGGTGCATTTCATTAATATATTTATACCACAAGATTTTTTAATTAGGACATCTAAATTCTAAGCTCTGCCACTGACTGTTATTTGACCTTTGGCAATTCACAGTCTTTCTAAGAGAGTTTCTGTTATCTTTGTAATGAAAATCATATTGATTTCACAGCTGGGTAGAGTGTAACAGCAGCTTTGCCTGCTGGTAGAAAGTACCGTTGAAATAAAAACATAATTTTAAAAGGAAAGAGAGAAGAAAGAACTGGATGTTCTGATCGAAATGCTAACTACAGACAACATGAGGTAGACTATATTTGCTTTAACTTTTACATGTTTTCTAAACAAAATGCCACACGTGATGAAGACTAATTAGAATTGTGCTGTTAAGCAAACTGCTTTTCTTTTCCCCCCCCCCACAAACTGGCAGTAACATTAGCACTGAAACAAAATATCTGTACTGTTGAATATTGCAGATGCCAACATCCAGCAGGCTCTTAAATTTGTTGTATAATGTCCTAAAGAAATAAGGCTTATGCAAGCACATCAACTCACTATTACCCCGCTTTCCCTGGTGATTTTTCAACCTGTTGGACAATTTCAACCAAATTTAGAAGAGAGGAGATGATAGCACAGGGATAACATGGAGCTAATGAAGACTTTTGACCATCAGATTCAGATGAGAGTGGATGAAATTTAATGGACATTCACTACCTTTGCTAGCCTCACATCGGACTGATTATTCCCAAAATAACTCCAAAAGTAGACTGAAAGCAAGACATTGCTAGAGGTTTATTATCCCTGTTAAAGACACAGCATCTTTGCCCTGACAGGACAAGCCGTCCCACACGAAGTAAAGGCGTCATCTTGGGAAAGATCATTATTTCTTATAGCATATCAAATGATTTCTTAAGCATATCAAAATTCAAACTGTTTAGCTTTTATATTTGTGTACTTCACAGCTCTTCTAGAATATTTTATTCTATTAGTCAAACATCAATTAATTTATATTTACATAGTTCTACATTAGTCATGTCGGAAGGTCACAGCGAACTTGCAAATGCAGTATAACATCCTTATAGAATTATGATGACTTCACTAAAATTATTAAAGTTGCAGTCAAAATTGCATGCATTCAAAAATGTGCTATTGGAAGTTTCTTATTGTTTATCACGAAAGCATTCTCCTGATCCTTTTTAGATATGCAAATCCAAGAAAATAATGTTTACAAGGTTTTATTGCCATTTCTCCAATTAACAAATGCAAATACCTTTCGCTGGGCCAAGGCAATCCCTCATTATCTCATGACAACGAACAAAATGTCCAGCACAGGCAGTTCCAACAGCCCTGCTCACTTTCATGTACATGCTGCTGGTGCCAGCACCTGCCGTGTGGTTAACAGGTATGAATAGTGACCAGGAGAATGAATTAACCCCAGGCACACACATGTGGGGAATTTTCTGTGATTCAGCTTTTCACTCTTTCTGGAGGCAGCTGGACAACTAGCGCCTAACACCTGCCCTCACAGACAAATTCTTTCCCAGACATGCAGATAACTGGATGTATGAGAAGATATCTCGTGTGAAATACCTGTGAGAAGAACCCTGTGTGAGAAGGATCTTAAGTATGGCATGAGCTAGCTGCAGGGATCTGGGGTTCAGAAGTTCCACTGTCCATCAGCAATCTATTTCGGACTAATGCAAAGTCCCTCCAACCTACAGGAGCCATGTGGAAAAAAACCTGCAAATGAAAGAAGCTTTGAAATCCAGAGACTTTATGTTATTATCAAGTCTCAAGTACTCAAGAGGTCAAAGGGCCTTGTGGCAAGAGGCCTAACAGACTGGAATCCAAACCATCTGTCCCATGTTTTTGTTTGTTTGCTTGTTTGTTTGGTTTGGGTTTTGTTGTTGTTGCTGTTGTTTTCTTCTGTAAAGATTGTATTTCAGGTGGACAGCAGAGAATTTAACAGCCTTTTGTCTGTTCTGCACATTAAGCATGGCTAGAGTTGGCACTGCAGTGCCCCATCTTTGTGAACATAATCACCAAAGTGTTTCATTAAGGTGCTCCACAGCACACAGGCCTCGGGGTTTGCATGAGCACAGAATAACGGCTGAGGCACAGCTTGGCCAAAACACAGTGAACCCCAATCCAGAGCTTTACGCAAAGCCTATGCTGGCCTTCAAAATCTGTCATGCCAATGTGCACACTTTAGGGAACTGCTGCTATGCAAACACATCAGTGCTAATGCACATTAGATATACATGTTTAGTTTTAGATTTCAGTCATTTTAAACATTCACTCTAAGTTATTAGTCTCAGACTCAAGACTTGATTAAAATTTAAAGTCTTCAACTGTGGAGAATTAAGTCATTTAATCCAATTTTCTTTAAACTTGCTTCTTACTTTTGTCATTCTCATTAAGGTTCATGCAAATACGCACTATGTGCAGACAGACCAAGATACCATGTAATACATCACAGAATCACAGAATGGCCAGGGTTGGAAAGGACCTCAAGGAACATAAATCTCCAACCCCCCTGCCACATGCAGGGCCACCAACACCCATGTAATACTAGAACCAGGCTGCACAGGACCCCATCCAATCTGGCCTTCAACACTTCCAGGGACAGAGCATCCACAACCTCTCTGGGCAGCCTGTTCCAGCACCTCACCACTCTCTCTGTAAAGAACTTAAAATCCCAGTACACTGAAGCAGTACTTTCAAAACACAGCTCATGCTGCCATTTAGTAATCTAGGAGAATATGGGAATGTCCCTCAGCCTACGCATGTGCTGCTGGGTTCTTCCCAAATGCCTGCACCGTGCCAGGCCTCTGTGCAGGGCAGGGAAGTCACAGCCCCCTGTGCACATGCTGTGTTGACACAACGGCTCTGCCTGTTCTGCCTCCGTGAGCAGGGTGGGTGAGGCACTTCTGCCAAGCCTTTGTCACGAGGAGAGATGGTGCAACTTCCTCTGAGATTTACAGCTGTCCTCCCGCAGCCAGCGCTGCAGCTCTGCTAGGGGGCTCTGCCAGCACAGCTGCCCAGGCCCAGGTTCACGGCACCTGGCCTTAATCACAAAATCCCAGGTCCTGGGTCTTGCCCTTCTCAGGGCTTGGCAGTAACTCCATCGGCTGTCATGGGGCTTTCCTCCTCTGCCCTGGCAGTAGCAGTGTGTTGTGGGCAGGGCGTTCTTTTCCAGAAGCGATAGATATGGTATGTCCCAGCAGCACCAAGGAGCGGCGTACCAGAAATCAAACATCAGGCCGCATTTCTGAAGTCCAGCTGGCTCTGTTTCAACAGGTATAGGAACAATCATCTGAAAATCTTTAGGAATGCATTTTAAGCTGATGTCAAGGTGCGTACTCAACTTTTCAAAAGTTTTGATTACTTGCTAGGCTATGCTATCAGTACTAAATTCCAGAGAAATGTACATTTCTTTGGTTGTAAATGTTCTTCTTACCTTTTCTTGAATGCTTTTTTTTTTTTTTCTCCTGATTGCAAAAATTCACATGAATCTGCTCTGTAAAATACAATTGTGAAAGAAAAATTACAATAAAATTCTTAGAAACAGATGAAGAGAAAGATTTTTTTACCCACAGACCATTAAGGATGCAACAAACTGAAATTCACTTATCTAGGTTAATGGCCATCATGAACCATCCGTTGCTATGAAACTGTTTAAAATCCATTGTGCCTATTCAATGTAAGGAAATGTACCTATAAAACCACTTTGAATATGTGCCTGATCTCCATTAGAGAACATGAATGCCCAGAATAGAGGTGCTAGTTTTAAAAAATGCTACAAAAATCTGTCAGGATTCTTGCTTCTTAAAACTACTTAATTTTGTGCTTCTCAATTAAAAAGTTGACTGTTTATTCAACTTGTCATTTTCAAGTGTTCTTCATACAAACATGTGTTATTAAGAGTTAAATCCACAATGAGTTTAACTACATCAACAAGTTGCTAAATGGTGCATATTCTTAGCACACAGGGCCACAGTTCACCCTTTTTTATGGACATCTAGGAACTCTTCTCTTGTTAAACTCTCAGTATTTAAACATGTTCCAAGAAATGTGCAGGTCACAGATTGAATAATATCAGTGGCAAGGTGCTATTGAGCTTGCTTTAAGCAATCGGTTTCACACAGTAGAAGCTGCGCGATTTTGAGAAGTCAGAGCAACTGATAAATTTAATAAACACAACTCCGTATTACAGGGACCAGACTCTTTCCGAAAGCTGACCAGACTTATTTACAGTTAACTTCAGACAACTATACTGTGCTGAAGTCTATGGGACATGGATGCCTGCAGAAGCATAGGTTTCCAAGTCCAACAGGTTGCAGCCCTCAGCTGGTAAAGTGATGTGCACTGTGTTTGGAAAAAGGGTGATCTTTCTGGATTTCCTGGAACCTGGACAAACCATCAACTCTGACCTATACAATGCAAAGCCAACTAAGATGGAGGCTCAAATTTCCAGGTCAGGTCAGAGAAAAACACAGCCCTTTTCTTGCAACACCAAAATGCCAGGCCCCATACCAGTTCGAAGACTGTCATGTATACCGCCAATCTTGTCTGGACTGTTGTAGCACACCCACTGTATAGTCCGGATTTGGTGCCTTTGGACTTCCACCTGTCAAGCCAATGGAAGATGGAGCAAATGGGCAATATTTTCTTAGCAATGATGTCATCATAGCAGCTCAGAAACAGTGGGTCACCTCCACCAGTGCAGATTTTGACAAGCATAGCATGCAGGCTCTTGTATGCAGCCGATGAAAATGCACAGCTAATGGTGGTGACTGTATTGAGAAAGAGTGTTTCGTAGATAACAATTTGCTCTACCAAATAGTCTTATTGTGCTATTTGTATCCATTGTGGTTTCCATGGAAATAAATACAAGGCATTACTTTTGGAGCAACCTATGTACTTAGAACAATTGAATCAACATTCTGTGATATCCTGCAGTAGAAGTGCTATACCCCAGTCATCTTACAGAAATGTAAGCAAACTGCAATCAAGTTATAACGCAAGATGCAAAAAATTAAGGTTGCAGAACTAAACAAATGGATTCAAAGCTCAGTGTTAGGAGTATCTGTTGGAGAACAGTTTTTTACAAGTCTGGAGCCAACCTCTGCAGCCCAACCATTTGATTCTGGATGATTCAGACACAAAGCTGTAATAGGAATATCTCTGAAATGTCTAGATTTTCTCTCATTTTTTTTTAATGGATTTCACACGGTACATACAATTTTTTTGAGAACTAAAGTGCTACTTCTAATACTTCCAGTTAAGTGAAATATTTGAAACAGAAGAAATGATAATATAAAATCTAAAACTATATTTAGTATTCTGAATACAATTAGGGCAATTTTATTCAATTGATTTCTGAAGTTCCCACATGAGTGATCTACAGTGATATCATTCAGTACAACAGTAACAGGTGCTGAAAAAGTAATTTTAAACAAATGAATTTTATCACATTACATGTTTTTCCCCTATTATAGCCAACTTTCCAAGTGCTTCTGCACAATTATCTAAATGAAGGTATATCAAAAAGTACTTTATTCCAAGATGTATTTCCATTTTTCATTACAAGATCACAGAACTAACAGCATTGTTTACTCTCTTTTCCAGAGAAGGATTTTATCAGTGCTTGAAGACGATAAGAACATAAGAAGAATACAGGAATCCTATCTTTTAACTTACAGTTTTACTACTAGAATATATAGTAGAGCTAGGAAGAATCTTGTAAGACACCTAATCCATCCTTTTTCCTGCAGGAAGCAGTTATTCAAGTACTCTGATCTTACAGATCTCCAATGGAGACAGAAACTCCAAAAGCTTGCCAAGCAATCTATTCCCTATCCTTGCCATTAAAGTTTTTTGAAATTTCTAAAATAAATCTTTCTGGCTGTAATTTAAGCCTATTACTTCTCGTTCTATCAAACACAGGCAAAAGAAATAGATTGTTCTCTTCCTCCTTGCAGCAACCTCTTGTGTAATACTATCTTCACTCTCTCTTCTCTGTGTCAAACTAAACTAGCATAATTTTTTTTTTTCTTTCTTTTAGGTTATAATTTCTACACTTGTCACTGTTCTCTGGACTGTCTCCAGCTGATTCACTTCATTCTTACTGTGGTATCTAAAACTGGGCATGGTATTCTAATTCACTATGAAATTAAGATTTGCTTATCCCACATTTCATCTGATTATTTAAATAATGAAGCTGATTATCTCCCAGGAGAAGGATACCAAAGCTGTCATTCTAGCACATACTAATTGTCCTGCTGGAAACAAAAGTTGTGAGTTAGATTAATTAAAACACAGTTCAGTTAATATCAATCTAAAGAAATTTGATTTCCTTTGGAATTGTGTCTTAAGACTTACTGATTTAATATCATAGGAAGCACACACTCTAAATCAGGTTTCCTTTGATCACAGTATTTATATGGACTTTCTGGTGTCCAATAAGAAAGACCATACAAAGTCTTTCCCTCAGTGGGGTTTACATGCCTAAGAGCATATATACAAACACATTAAAACAAGAGCAGGGAAGCTTCCTGTGTAAGAGCCTCTGGATGACAGCTGGAGTAGACAGCTAAAGAGGAAGAGGAGGAGACAGAGGTTGGGCCAAGTCGGGTTGGTGTGGTTTTAACAGCAGGTTCCGTGTTGTGCTGTGATTTTATGGCTAGTTCTGCTGCAACTGAGAAAACAGCTCCCAGCATAAGCCCACCATCAGCTACTCTACACAGTCTCTAGAAACTTTGCATCTGTGAGAGCTTTACTTGCGGTGCATGGTTGAAACTGGTCACATGCTATTTTCGGGGGGTGGCGGAGTTGGACACATACAGATGTATAAACAGCATGATTTCACAAGCCTTTACTTCTTTAAGAAACAGGCTAAATAGTTTCCTCACTACTTGTGAGCTGTGTAAACAACACCTTTTTATATACTACCTTGCTATATTGATTTTAGATCCCCCGCTTAATTAAAGCATATTAAAGCTTTAAACAAGATGTTCAGGTGAAAACATCTCTATACTCTTTCTTTTTTTCTGTACTCCTTCATTTAACTGCTCTACTCTTTTCCCAAGAGAAAACATGCTTTTGAGAGCTGGATCCTGACATTCAACACATTGTCATTTATTTAGTTCTTACAGTGATTCAATAACAAAATTCCATCATACTTAGGTGGAGTCACTCAAGAACTACTTAGCATATTCATGACACAAGGCTGCTCTGTTCATTAATTCCTAGAGGAGTACTGCTTGTGTCACTAGTGACGATACCAATTTCACTGCAAAGAGTTATGATGTGACTCTAAGATTTCAGTCATGAATAAATAAGAGGGTACTGGTATTTCCATTTGCCTAAAATTGAAAAACTTCTCTAGCAGACATTTTATACAATCACGATGAGTAGATGCATTCCTCTGGTATTCAGGTTAAACTGAATACTGAAGATCTCAGGAACAATACCAAAAAAACTCAGCAGCACCTGAGCCTTAAGAATCTGCCTCAATTTATTGAGGAAATGTCTTATTTGCTTATAGTTACTCTGACAGCTTTGATACGAAAGGTGTTGACATGGTCTACTTCAAGCATCTGTCTTCATTATTATGTATCACCTCTTCAAAGAACTCTGCTTTTTTTAAGTGATCATACAGAAACTTCAGAGGCTATTCCTACCAACAACTCTCCAACACAGAGTGCCTAACATGGCTTCCCCTTCCTTCTCTCACTGGTGAATTAGATACTAAAAGTACAGTACATATTTCCACCAGTGAAGGATAGAGGAAAGGAGACAAAATATCACAAAGAGATTCTCTATGGAGCAAGCGGTGAGTGATCTGACAAGTTGGCTGCTAACCGAAGACCTGAAACAAGGCTACTAGGGCAGGAGATTGGAGCAGGTAGAAGGACGTGAGTAAAGGAGAAAAGAGGAAGTCAGCTTGGTTTGCCTAGAGAAGATCAGAGATAAAGACTGTGATGATACTGGTGGAAACAGAAGTGTCTGTAAAGAGGACTGGAGCCTTCTGCTCGTAGGACAAGGATGTACTATGGAAAGAGAGAAAGAAGAAAAGAAAGAAAGAGAGAGAGAGGAAAAAAAAAAAAGAGAAACATAAAGAGAGGAAGAGAGAGATTAAAGTCCATATGAATATCCTGGGAAAAAAAAATTAGGACTGGCTAATTGAGGAGAATGTGAATAGGACAGAGAGTCACAGACAGCTATTAGAATAGACTAGAAAAAGTTGGGAAAGATGGGACAGATTAAGATACAGTTGGTGGAAAAGCATATATAAATAGTGTCTCAGCCCCAAGACTTATGTATTGTCAGTAAATGCATGTCTCACCAAAACTGAAGCTCACCAGGTGAAGATAATATCCTGCAGTTATTATTTATCTCATTAGGTCCAGCTAGCAGGATTGTGGTACAGCCACAGACAGCACAGCAAGGAAAAGCTAGTTTGCTGTAAGAATTTCTCTCCTTTCAATAGCTCTTTTTCAGATGTGCAGTCAAAGCTTCTGGGGTTAGAGGATCTTTTTCAGTAATACCTGTGATAATTTCTGTTTGACATCTTGATTTGATAATGGATGCACTATTGGTAGTCACAATTAAAATTGATTACAGCTCTCCTGCTTGAATTTTACTTCAGTTTTTATACACTGGCACTTGCAATGCCTTTTTTTCCAGTATAATAGTTTTCCCCATAACATTATTCACTTGGTGTAAGCAAGTTGCTGTCTTTGTCGGCATCGGTGGACAAGGGAAAGGCGACCGATGTCATTTACCTGGACATGAGCAAGGCCTTTGACATGGTTCCCCACCACATCCTTATCTCCAAACTGGAGGGATGTGGATTTGATGGGTGGACCACTCGATGGATAAGAAACTGGTTGAAAGGCCGCAGACAGAGGGTGGTCATCAATGGCTCTATGTCCAGGTGGAGGCTGGTAACGAGCGGTGTCCCCCAGGGATCTGTTTTGGGACCGGTGCTCTTTAACATCTTTATCAGTGACATCGATGATGGAATCGAGTGCACCCTCAGCAAGTCTGCTGACGACACCAAGCTGAGTGGTGTGGTTGACACAGTTGAAGGACGGGATGCCATTCAGAGGGACCTC